GTGGGTGGGTGGGTGTGGGTGGGTGTGGGTGTGTGTGTATGTCAGGTACTAACCTGCGAAAGGTGTCATCTTGATGCAGGTACGGACTGGCTGAAGACGAAGCTGGAGTGATGGCGTCACAGATAAGTCATCAGGTGAGCCCCTCTGGCCTCCACCATCGCCGGTCTTCCCTCAACCTCCACTGCAGCAGAGCTACCGCTCTCACTCGTGGCTGAAGACCTAACGCAGCGCCCAGCACTGGAGACTACCACACTACCTATCGTCGACTACAACTACTACCTGAAGAGTACCTGAAGAACACCCCCTGAGGCTGCGGCGGACCAGCTATAAGTAGTGCTGGTCCGGCCTCAGCCGTGCTTCGAATCGAATCGAAGACTGGCGCCAACACTGGCTGGGCCTGAACGGTCCTGGCGCCTAACCTGGCAGCGCGAAACTGGCTGGGCCTGAACGGCCTAGCGCCTAACCTCTAACCTACGGGGCCCTAAACTGGGCCGAAACGACACGGGGCCGAGCTGGACCTAAGTACCCCCCTAACCCAACCCCTGGTCCTACCTGGACGGGCCCGGGCCCATGTGGAACTCAGAATGCCACATCCCTGAGTCCTGGCAGATTTATATTGCTGCAGCATACCTGCAGAGTCCACAACAGAGCAGTGAAGTGTGTTTGGACAGTTGATAGGTAGAATGCAGATGCAATCTACTGTATGCTCTTATTGTTGTTTTTATGTTTTATTTTAATGTTTTCACTTTGGTTTTTATTTTCCCTTGCTCTTTTGTTTCTCTTCCGGAACCACCCAACCAGCTCAGCAGGGCAGATTGGTGAGCTGTGTGGCGAGGCCCAAGTCAGGGCCTCGCTCCAACGAAAATAAGGCCGCAGTATCTTTCCATATTCTCGCGTCTTGTTCATTCTTTTTTCTTTAGTGAGTAGGGTGGCGAGGCCCAAGTCAGGGCCTCGCTCCAGCGAAGATCAGGGCACAGTATCTTTCCACGTCCTAGCGGCTGATTCATTCTCTCCATTTTTCCAACTTTTTCTCTAGCAGCCGATTCATTTTCATGGTCACAGTATCTTTCTGTGTTGTGGACAGCCATGCTGCCTGTCCTTTCTTTTGTCCCACACATCGCTGGCACCGGTACCACCCGCAACGTTCCAAGCGGATGCACTGTAGATTTCAGGCATCATCAAAATGCATTATTTGGTTCGTTGATTTCGCTTTGGATGCACAGGTGGTTTAAGCCGCCACACCAGTACATGGCCCCAGCCAAGTTGAGAATCGCAATTGAGCCTCTCTTAAAATTGTGGAGGCTCAGGACAGGGCGTCCGACGGGCCAGTAAAAAAAAAAAATGTCCCATCCGTGGGATGGCGCTAGACCCAGCCCTCAACGAAAGAAAAATTTCCGTCCTTCCTCAGGTGAGCCCTGTCCTGAGTCCCCCAGCTTTTCAGAGAGGCCCATTCGAATTCTCCAGATGTACTACTGTCTTCACCCAAATAAAACGCCCGGTCATTATAGCTGTATTTGGCACAACTTTCGGTCCAGATGCAGCGATAATTACCGGGTTTTCTATTCGGGCGAAGACAGTAGTGGTTTAACAGATGATAGGAAGAGGATGGGGAGAGGCAACAACTTATACATGGATAGTTTCTTTTGTTTTCCACCCTTGACAAACATATTGTGAAAGCTCACAAAGAGGGCGGCGAGAGGGATGACGAAGGACGAGGAGGATCAAGAACGGCTTCTCACTGAAGCCCCCCAGGCCCCGGCTGATGGTGCCTTTTTGTTTTGGGCGTTACGCAGAATGTAAGGGGCTGTGGAGCAAGAAAAAGGAAGGTGGAAGATGAGTGGGACGCAGTGCGGAAGACGATGAGTAGGAGCCGTGGGGAGCAGTAGCATGTCGTACGGGATTTGTTTTTTTACACCATAAACAATTCGTTGAAAGAGAGAGAGAGAGGTCATCACCCAGCCAAGAACACCTCCGTGTACCAAAGTGAATGAGAGAGAGTAAGCGGAGGCTTTACAGATGGAATTTTGAGGATGAATCCGGACTATTGAACATAATGCAGGATTGAATCCGGACTGATTGAATATAATGCAGGATTGTCCGGATTCATCCTCAGAAAGGTCATCCGCAAACCTGGCTCTCTCTCTCTCTCTCTCTCTCTCTCTCTCTCTCTCTCTCTCTCTCTCTCTCTCTCTCTCTCTC